GCAAGGAATCTCACAATGAATGGTGCTTTGTTGTGCGTCTTCGGAGGTCGGGTGCAGATTTGTGGAGCTATTTTCTGCGGAATTCATAACCCTTTATGTTCATTTCCTTATCACTATGGAAGAGCTTGTTTTATCCGTCCTTCTTTTATTCGTTTTTATTTGGCTAACATTTCACCTGTCACTAGGAAGTGTTAAGCCGGAATTGGACTATTGCTTTTTCTTAGCTGCCTTCACCGATATTACGACCATCATTATTATCGCTGATGTTCCTCTCGCTTTACATCTTCAGCCTTATGTCATCTGCATCATACAGCTGTCCATACACGGCGGTGTGGAGTGTGATAACTGCGTTTAATAACACTTCATAATGTGCAAACCGCAGTCTGCCATGACGGCCAATCCGATTTCAGTGTACTGAGGTGAGCTCATTAAAGTGTATATAAACTAGGGATGCACCGATACCAGTATCGGTATTGGTGCCGATACAGAGTATTTGGGCAAGTACTCGTGCTCGCCCAAATGTTCCGATGCCTAGCCGGATATTTGAGCTTCCGGTATCAGGAAGCTGGGCAGCGAGTCATTACTTGGTAATGAGGGAGCATAGCCCGGCTTTCCGGCCAATCAGGAAGCCGAGTAGCGTGTAATGACTCGCCACCTAGCTTCCTGATTGGTCGGGAAGCTGGCCAATCAGAAAGCCGGACGGTAAATTATTGCCTGCCCCTTAGCTTCCTGATAGGCCAGAAAGCCGACTTCATGCTCCCTCACCACTTGATGACTCGCCGCTTCCTGATTGGTCTGAGCCTGATGAAGGGGACCCTGCGAGGCCCCCGAAAGTACTTGCAATTGAATGACAACATTGTGCTCTATCTGTCCCCAAAAAATGGTATAAAATTCATTTCAGTACAGCGTTGCATGACGGAATAAACGTCAGTCAAAGTATCGCAAAGAAAGCGCTGAATACTGAAAAATGGCCTGGCCAGGAAGGGGGTCTAAACACCTGGTCTTGAAGTGTTTAAAATGGGCATTTGCTGAACGCAAACAGCTTGGTGTGCTGGTGACATCCTTTATATCTATGTACTATTTCACGGCGCCAACCGTGGTCACTGCAAGCACCCATTTGTATTTATTACAGAAATCCGGTAAGGAGTGCAGCAAGATAGATATACTTTTCTGCTAGTCAATCAGCCCGCCCCCCGGCTTCCTGATTAGCCAGAAAGTCGGCTCCATGCTTTTTCGTCACCGGCTCCATGCTTTTTTGTTGCTGCTAATCAGGAAGCTGGGTGGAGTCTAATCGGGAAGCTGGGAGTCTTTACAGGCCATAATTAAGTTTGTAAGCAATTACATAATAAAGGTAAGTACAGCAGGAAAGGAGGGGGGGGGGATCAGATTGGAGGGGGTAATTCCATTTTCCCAAATTTGCCAGGGAAAGTGGAACTATCCATTAAAGGAGGCCCAATAAAAAGAATAGGCTGGCAGTGCACCAAAATGTTTTAGAGAACAAACATGTATCATTCTTGGCAATGCATTGCACCACAATGCACGTTGTTGCTGAATGTTGTGCTGTGCTGCAACGCATGTGTATTGGAGCTGCGTGTGTGAACTCAGCCTCAGACTGGTTTTGGTTGAGGTTTCCTTAGAATCAGTAAGCATTAATCAGAGACATTAGAATGTGTGATCTCCACTGCACTACGGATGTAAATAGTTAACATGTACTTCATCATGCGCTACATAATGTGTCTGCACTACATAAACACGGCAACAGCGACCTGGAAAACGCACCGCACATTTATTTAATTAATGAACGGCATTTAGCAATTGTCTGCAGAGATCACTACAAATGAAGTGATTTCCTTGGCAAGCATTCCATGTATTTATAACAACATATTGATCTTCCTTGTTAATAGCTGAATATTTCAGCTTCAAATAAGAGGAGAACACATGCGTGTTCCCTGACACGCTGCGCTAATTATCAACCGAAAGATCAATGGGGAGCGCAATGGAAGAATGTTGGCCTAAGCTACAAAGACATTAAATGTTATCAAATGCCAGACGTCACACGTACTTTACATTCTACACATGGCTGTGGAAGCCAACACAGGAAACCATCAAGCGACAAGGAAAAGCCAATGTGGACATCTCAGGAGTGATTGATCCCCCGACATAAAATCAAACCATTCATCAATTCGATTGGACAGAAAGTCATGGAGCACAAGGAAGAAAGGGAATTGTGCGGAGGGACAGCATGACAGGGGGAGAAGGGGAGACAGGGAGACCATGGTGTTTCACCCCCTTCCTGGCCAGGCCATTTTTCAGTATTCAGCGCTGCGGTACTTTGACTGACGTTTATTCCGTCATGCAACGCTGTACTGAAATTAATTTTATACCATTTTTTAGGGACAGATAGAGCTTTCCTTTGGTGGTATTTAATCACCACTGGGGGTTTTATTTTTTACTATACACCAAAAAAGTACCCTAAATTTGGAAAAAAAAACATGTTTCCCTATATTATGTTATGAAACATTTATTATCACCCCAATTTTTTGGTAAAATATAGACGGGGTCACGTCGGGTAAATAGACACTAAACATGTCAAGCTTTAAAATTGCATGCGCCCACGAAATCGCAGAAAACGACAGCAACCAAAATTGGCCATAGGCGACGCTTTAAATTTTTTTACCGCTCATCAGTTTAGTGTTATAGATGATTGATGGCCCTAAAATCATTGCTCTCACTGCGACGTTCGCGGCGATATGTTACATGTGTGGCATAATGGGCGCAATCGTTTATTATTATTATTATTAATAATAATAGTTGCAAATAAAAAATAGCTTCTGTTTTAATTGATTTTTAATAACATTTTTGGCATGATTTTAACATTTATATACGAGCTGATATTGTTTTTTTGTATTTATTTTCTCATATTTAGAGGCAATGTATATAAACTGTATATTTATTAGGGATGCACAGATACTTTTCGAGTACCAGTGCAGATACTTGGCATTTTCATGAGAACTACCAGGGTTGCAGCGGTTGCAGCTGGGACCCGTCTCTGGCGCTCCACCACTGTCCTGAAATCATTGGTCTGTATTGTTTTAGAAAAACTGTCACATGACAATAAACAAAAATAAGTAAGTACTCTGCAAGTATCAGTACTTGTACTCGCAAAACTGGTATCGGTGCATCTCATTATTTATATTTATAAAAACAAAATCATTCACAGAGATGTCAGTGTGCTCCTTACAAATGACAAATGCCTCCTAACTTTTGAATTTTTCTCTAGTCTAGTCCTGGAGCTCAAAAGTATCTGTACATGTTCTTGTACTTGTACCGAGTACTGTACTTGGTATCTGTGCAACCCTAATATTTATATACAGTACATTTCTCTCTCTCTCTCTCTCTCTCTCTCTCTCTCTCTCCAGTATAGGTGGATATACCCCCAGTATTTACTGAATTAGTATAAGAAGTCAACTGACTTCATATATGTTTTGTAGCCCTGAAGAAGGGGAAAGCATTTGAGTCCCCAAAATGCGTTTGCCGTTCTATGCCGTCTCTTTATAAGCTGATATCAAAGTGACACTAAACTCAGGAGTTAAATCTTAAAAATACATTCAAGTATCTTATTTGTGTATCACTTGGCTGTAGATCCTCCACTCCTGTGATGGACTGCAATCTCATGTGTAATTTACCCATTTGTATTGAGATTGTAGTCCATCACGGGAGTGAGCTTGGAGCGGTGTGCTTCAAGATGGAGACTCTCATAGTTTAGAGTTAGGACCGCACTATAAGAGGTGCCTTGGCGCGGCAGTGCGGCTTACACATCCTTTGCAGAAGACGTGTATCCAAACCTCTGTCATTGTCCTTAGTGGTGAGACAAGTTGTTTTACATGCTGGTTTGTGAGTGTGCCATGATGCCTTTCTACTGTTCTACTGTTCAAAGCCCATTTCGTGTGCACCTTACTGTATAACTGGTAACAAATTGTTGAGTGCGGTTGTCGTTTGTTTTGCTTTACTTTACAACACACACAGGGGCCATAGGGAACAAAAGTAGCCCCCCTCCAGAAGGAAGGACAGTGTCGGCACCAATTCAGAGATGATTTCAACAGCTGAGTGATACACAAATAAAATACATTCATGTTAATAGTTCAGGTACCTGAATGTATTTTTAAGGTTTGACCTTTGAGTTTAGTGTCACTTTAATATTAAAAATATGTGGTCTCTCAGACCTTTTGTTTGGTGCCTTCATTAGACTGTGCGTTAACGCAACTGATGGATCTACTAATAATCTAAATTTAGCGCCTACTTGTTCTAGGGACTGCATATGAGACCAACGTTACCCAATAAGTTGACCAGCACTGGTCTATAGACATTCAACCAGTGTGTCCTCCTCCCTCATCTATGAGCTAAACAGGAACACTTGTGCAGTCTGAGATGTTATTGTAATGACAAATGCAAGCTATTGGCTCCTAGTAATGCTCTTCCCTCTTCCAGTCTGACTGCTCCTGTTCCATAAAGCTACAGCAGGTTGGTATCAAGGTAGATGCAGGTACCATTTGCACTGCTTGTGTAAAAACTTTTCATGAATTATTGCATCTATATATGTTTGTTTTTGTTTTTTCTCTGCCTGAAATTCGACTTTCTATTAAAGCAAGAGTGTACAGCAGTAGGAGCACCTTTGGTAGTTAATAGTGCACTTATCTATACAGATATATATTTATTGAGGATAATTACATCTAGAGACAATTATAAAAAACAGAGGGACCGGTATTCAGCAAGTCTGTTGATTGCAATGAATGAAATAAAGGGAGAATTTTGAAAATATGAAACAGCAAGCATGTCAATTCTGTGACAGTGACATGACAAAAAATGACTTTTGGACAAAATGAACTTTAACATTTCACTTTAAGAACACTTAAGAAAAGTTTTTCTTTTGTTTTCTTCTTAATAAGATACTAATAGAAAGCAGCCATCTGTAGGAATCGTGTAACTCAAACTTTACATACCTCTACTGTACACCCAGACCACTCTCCAAACCTCCAGACATAGCAGGGGGAAATCAGGCAGCCCTTGTGCTGGGTGAGATGAGCCGGGCAGGGTCTCCCATCTCCTTCTGCTTGCATTATGATGTGTCGGGAACGGATCTGCTGGCCTGCAACACAACAAACATAACTCTTAGATTTATAGGTTCCATGTGGATGAGGCTCGGTGTAAATAAAGTGAACGAGCGCAGACCAATCCCAGGAGCCTGATGACCGAAACACATAAATGATTTTTTTTGGCTCTACCCTATCTAAGCCTTTTCTACTCTTATGAGGCTAGTAGAGTCTTTAGTAGAAGACACGAGACATGTGCGATTCGCTTCGTTCCGAATTATCCAATCCCAATGCATCCAAATGTATCCCAATTTCTGTTTCCGAATTTCGTATCCCATCCAAATTTCGTTCAAAAACTAAACTGAATCGGACACGTGACTTTTCTGGCCAATCAGATGTGTTTTTCAGTTTAATGATACAATGAGTCTGAACACCAATTTTCATTACGGCAACATGGGAGCCATCTACAGTATATACTGTACATATAATACTAAAGATGAGACTCCTAGACTCGAATGGCATTCAGGATCTGAATTTCCACATTGCATTCAGGAGCTCCTGAATGGCATTCGAGTCTCGGAGCCATATACATATATTACTAAAGCTGAGGCTCCCAGACCCGAATGCAATTCAGAAATTTGGATCCCGAATGCAATTCGGGTCTTGGAGCCTCAGATTTAGTATTAATATGTATACGGTTTTCTGTGTTATTTGCAACGTATATTCGCACACTTATCCGAAACTAATGAAAATTTGGATTTCGTCCGAATCCGAAACCCAAACCAAATTTAATCTCGTATCCGAATCCCAAAATAACGAAATATTCAAACCGAACCAAATTTTTCTGCAGCTTACATGTCTAGAAGATACATTGGTGAAGACCCTTGGAATCGGGGTCCCTTAGAATTGGAGAAGACATATGCAAACCCTTTCGCTGGTCCCCTTGACATTTTTACATTAAGGGCTCATGCAAATGGTCGCCAGGGCCATACACCGCAAATTTCTACATATTTCCCCGCCAGGGAGCCACAGGTGATGTGTAAAGCCTCTGTAAGCCTCTGTACGTCAATAGATTGTCTTATCTGAAGCAATATCACAGCCTTGCATGAAGTCATAAGGCAGTGTAGAACTCCTTTGATTCATATCAGTACATTTGGCCAGTGCTGAGAAGTCAATAGTGGAAATTCAAGTATGGCTACTTTTTCTTCCCCATAGGAAGAAACTATGTAAAAACAGTTCTGTGCCTGAACACTACAGATCATTTGCGCTGTCAAAATAATTGCATAAAAATATGACACAATCATTACCCTAAGGAGAACTATGGGGAAAAGCCTTAACCCCATAGTTCTCCTTTAAGCCATGTATTATAGCAGTTGTAGAGCTGGCATTATTATACTGCCATCTTGTGAGCATTTTGGTTATTGCACCATGTTTTTCTGAATTCCCTCCCCTTGTGTGTAATGTACCGCCCTTCTTCTCCAACTAGTTGTTTAGTGTCATGGGCTGGCTATAGCAGGACCACATGTACATGCTAGCTTGGAAACATTATCATCCTTGACCTTCAAATATCATCTGTTCATTCATTTGCTGTATCCTGTTGTCTATTGTAATCTGCTGCATGCTATAAAGCTCTTCATGGAGAAAATGTATTTGATGAGTTCAGCTATCTGATAAAGATTGTGTGCAGTGATTATATCTGTTTATACAGGCCAGGCATAGAGGTCTCAGCAAGGGAAAAATCGCTAATACAACAATCGGAGTCAAAATATGATTATTAAAAATGGCTGCAATGGGAATGCATGCTTTAGTATAACATTACCAAATAGTGAACTGCAGCAACTGTCAAAGTGTCAAAACCTCTTTAATACTTCACTTGACCAGTGTTTTATAGAATATATGTAATGTATTAAATTGTAGGAAAGCCACTGACACAGTTATGTTTTTTTATGCATGTTTATTACTATAATATTATTAAAACCGATACAAAACTTATTTTTTTAATGTATTCTCCATCAATGTATCTGCTACCTTACCTGCACCTACTACAATACAGCCTTTGTTACTCTCTACAAGGTATAAATATAATTTTTAAATATAAAAACAAACAAGACATGAAAGCAAAGCGTGGCATAATGATATCATTAGGAGATACTAACTATAACACAGATCCACCAAATTACTAATAATTGGCCATGTTCAACAACTTGTACAATTAAAAAGATATTTGATTTAGAAATCATATTTTTTTTCTTTTTCGGTCACTTGTATGGGTAATTAACTTTGATCACATCGCACAAACGGCGCAGGGTCAGAGACAATTGCTTTGTGGGGCATTTAAGGGACCATTAACTCCAAATTAAAACTTGACATATATAATGTATATTCAATTATATATGGAAATGGTCTCCCTACTGTGAATGATAAAGATATTAGGACCCACCTGGGAGTCCAGAGACTATGTAAATGTAGGAAACCATAAGCTTAGTGCACTTGTATTGGTCACGGATCTCTGCAGTACGCACGGATAGTCAGAATAATTGCTATTATATTTTTTATACACTAATAGAGAGACTGCCAGATATTGTCAGACAAACTGATATGCTGGGTGAGCTCTCAGAAGAAGCATAAGGAGCCAATGAGTTATTTTACTCATGTGCCAACAAGGAACATGCTTAGGTCTTGTTCACACCAGAATTGTTTCAATTTGCTTTGCTGCATTTTGACACTAAAATGCATGGCCAAGAGAAGATCAATTGTTTTCAATTGGACCTGTTCTTACCAATACATTATAGTGTGCTGTGAGGAAGATCAGTATGCTACATCGTGGGTGTGTTAACCCGCATTATGCCATGCAAGTTAAGTGATTGAAACTCTTAACCCAATACAACACATGTCAACACACAGCACTGCGACAATCTCTAATGCCTGATTAGAAAAAAGAAATCCACAGATACATACCCTAAGGCCAGGTGAGGTCACAGGCTTTCATCATCTGCACCAGCAGTGTTGGTAAGTGACCCTTATGTCTTGGTCTGTAACATTCTGTGCTGTAGAACTATGAGCCTAAGCAGGCAAAGCTAAGCCTGATGAAGTGACCTGTGTGGCCCCGAAAGCGCTTGTTTATATGACAAGAAACTTCAATAAATGAACAGTTGCTTATCCTAAGAAGGATTTTGGTGTGCTGGTGACATCTCTCCACAATTGCTGATATTTGCGGCGCCATCTGCAGTCACTGCGAGCACCCAACCCCTGATTGCCCAGATTAAGGGGGCAGAGAAGGTTATGTGTTAGGGTGATGATAAGTGTTAGTCATTGGGTGCTAACTGGCAAAATCACATTTGTTTTCAGCAGTGAAAGCCTTGTGCTCATGTGTCAGGTCCCTGGCACCAAAAATGTATGTATCGTATGAAGCTAAAAAAAAATGAATCGGGAGTTAAGCACTACGTGCTCATTTCCTAGTCACCTACGCTGTAATGATAATGCCTCAAACTGCGATCCTGGCTCCTAGATCAGTCTCTTCAGCCTCTCTCCCCATCCGCTCCGGTGGGCTACGACCTGTGAGTCATTCCGTCCTATACAGTGTATAGGAACTGATGACGCTGAGGGACATTCCATTGTCAGAGGAGGAGAGAGGCTGAAGGGACCGGTCTAGAAGCCAGTTGGAAACGTGGTTCGGGTGAGTATATCTCTGTCATGTTAGCTTCCTAGGCAAAATGAGCACTTAGCAGCAGAGTGCAGAGTTAGCCCCACTGCAAGGGTTAAGATTTTATTTGCCTGAAGTTCTTTAAGCCGGTCACATGATATTGCAGGGTCCTCTTAGTCTTACTTAGCTTTTCTCCAAGCTGGGCGGCCTTTTCTGGTGCAGAGAACAATACTGATGTAATGACATTAGCGTTGTTGTGCTGGCTCTGCAACAGTACACCGTGAATAAAGGCTGCCTTAGTGACGCCCCTAAGGGGGCAAGCCATGACGTCCTGCATACACAGCATGTTATCCCCAATTTGTATTGGCTAAAAAGCAGCTCAGACGTCAATATTAACCTTCAATCCGGTTTCCATCACCACCACCACCATCCGCCATACAATGTCTGCTCTACAAGATGTCCTCAGTCTTCCGGATTGAGTAATGCTTAGTGTTACTCAACCCAAAAGACTGTGGCGAAGAAGTGCTATGGTGGGTGACGGTGGGAGAAGGTTTCGAATTGAAGGTTAATATTGATGCCTGAGCTTCCTTTTTTTTTTTTAATACTGCCTGAGGAGCTCTTTTAACCAGTTATAATGTAGAATAAAATTGGGCTTTAAATTTCTTCCTAGCAAAAACACAGATTTAAAATACTTTGTTACAAGATAATGGATACAACAAGCCATTTTATACCATTATTATGAGCCCGTCCTCGCGCAGCAAAGTATTTCAGTATTGAGATGAAAGCACAAATGTAATGTGCGCACCACTGACAGAGACATTCCCTGGTACTTTTCTCGGTAGGATATGGGCTGTAATTATTGAATAAATTATCTGTAATTTCAGCGCACACCTTCCCCATTCCTCTCTCTCTCTCTCTCCTCATTTATGGCATGTTAATATTCTTGACAGGTCACACGGAGTGCAATACAATCACAGTCACCTCGGAGAGTGTCTTCCTGGCCTTTGAAGAGATGTTTTGTAATAAATGAATCATTGATTTGCTACAACATCCACCTATTGTTACAGCTCAACCTCATTACAAATTCACTTTCCTAACAGCAGAGATTACCGCAAAGCTCGCAATGAAAACCTACAAGGAAATGGCACTACGGCCCTGGAAAAGGCTCTTTTTAAAAAATCTGCCCTATACTGAATGATGGTAACAGGGAAATGGGAATGGACACATTATGCACAGTTTCATTAAGCTCAATGACAATTGTGTTGAAAATAAATTTAAAAAAACTTGAATTGAGTAACATTTATCCGAGAAAAGTTGGCATTCATTGGGGCACTTTAAGTCCAGCTCGAAGCTATTTTTTAGTTTTTTATTCTTAAATGCACCCCACCCCCCATTTCCCCCATGCAAAAAAAT